GAGACGGGGTTTCACCATGTTGACCAGGATGGTCTCGATCTCTTGACCTTGTGATCCACCCGCCTCGGCCTCCCAAAGTGCTGGGATTACAGGCATGAGCCACCGCGCCCGGCCCTGAGATTAAGTCTTGAATTGACTAAGTGTCCCTCAGTCACTGAAAACTTGGAATTTAAACATTTAACCTATTTTATTAACAGCTCAGCAAAGACCCAAATATCGTCATAGCCAAGATGGATGCCACAGCCAATGATGTGCCTTCTCCATATGAAGTCAGAGGGTAAGTGGATTAAAAACTAACAAACATATCCAGGCAATTGATAGGAATAAAGCTTGTAACCACCAGGAAACTATTTCTTTACAAGGCATGGTTTTGGGGGAGGTCTTCATATTCCATTTGAAGGCAGAACCACTGATTCCTTCTTGGCTTAAGAGTTTTGCAGCATGGGCCCACGTGACTCCTTGAAATTAATAAATGTTTCTTTCCCTAGTTTTCCTACCATATACTTCTCTCCAGCCAACAAGAAGCTAAATCCAAAGAAATACGAAGTAAGTGAATTGTCCTATATCCCCACAAACGTACACATGACATAAACACACACTCTTAAGCATAGTCAGTTCTTTAATTGGGTTTATTTAACTGAAAACTCTTTAAACTCTAATGGTGAGTATAGGTGGGTACTAATGTGCATTTATAAACTCAGAAGTCTTCCTGTTTGGGTGGGGCAGATTGGGGTTCTTTAAAAAGTTACAGTTTTAATGTAATCTTTCTGTTTTCAGGGTGGCCGTGAATTAAGTGATTTTATTAGCTATTTACAACGAGAAGCTACAAACCCCCCTGTAATTCAAGAAGAAAAGCCCAAGAAGAAGAAGAAGGCACAGGAGGATCTCTAAAGCAGTAGTCAAACACCACTTTGTAAAAGGACTCTTCCACCAGAGATAGGAAAACCATTGGGGAGGACTGGGACCCATATGGGAATTATTACCTCTCAGGGCTGAGAGGACAGAATGGATATAATCTGAATCCTGTTAAATTTTCTCTAAACTGTTTCTTAGCTGCACTGTTTATGGAAACACCAGGACCAGTTTATGTTTGTGGTTTTGGGAAAAATTATTTGTGTTGAGGGGAACGTTGTGGGGTGGGGGGAATTGAGTTGGGGGGTATTTTCTAATTTTTTTTGTACATTTGGAACTGTGACAATAAATGAGACCCCTTTAAACTGTCTTATTTTCCACAAGATTGAGAACCAGAGGTTCTCTACACACTATCACTCCAATAGAGCTTTCTTCAGTGATGGAAATGTTATCTACACTGTTCAATGGTAGCTACGGAGCATCTGAAATATGGCTAGAAACTACATTTTTTATTTTTTATGTATTTCTTTAGAGATGGGGTTTCACCATGTTGGTCAGTCTGGTCTCGAATTGTTGATCTCATGACCCACCTGCCTCAGCCTCCCAAAGTGCTGGGATTACAGGCATAAGCCACTGCGCCTAGCCCCTTTTTAGTTTTCATTTATTTAAATAGCCATACAGTTGCTACTATACTGGTCACTGCAGCTGTAGACTGACTTGACTGGATCCATAATTAATTCAAAATTCTTTCCAAATGTATCATCTCTTTCTCTCCTTACATGTTTATTGCCCAGGCCTACCCTGGTGTTTAGAACAGGTGAAGGGCCTTTCTTGTTAGGCTGTCCATGCCCTAAGGATGGGTTCCTGTTTATCCTTGCCATGCAGCTGAGCTTACTGCATGTTTATACCTCCCAAGGACTGTTCTCTGCCCAGAAATATCCTGTTATGGGTGTGGCATCATGGGGTTCCATCCAAGTTGTTTCAGAAATTGCTGACACTGCTGGGTGCAGCTCTACCCTCCAAAGCCTAAGGTGTGGCCCTTTAATTTCCCTCTCCAGTAGAACTGGGAAAGGCAGTATCATTCCTAGTTAAGAGTGAAGCATCCACTTTCATTTGTAACAATAAGGAACAGAAAGGATAGGATTGGAGAATGATCTTTTGTCCAAATAAACCATTTCTCTCCTTTTGTAGGTAAACTCAAATCCTGCGCAGTTACTGTTTTCAGCCACTGGATAATTCCAGATAGGAGCCTTACTTTAGGTGATCCTACAAACACCTATGTTCAGAAAAGAACTTTCTTCCTACTATATAATTAGAATATTTAGCTGTCAGTTTTAAGATGAATTCGGTAGAGCCTTACAGCAAAATACATATCTTGGTCACACACAGAGCTTGGAAAAAGTAAAAGATGTCTAAACCATAATCTTCGAGATTCTAACTCATAACATCTGGGCTGGGGCACGGGGATCTAATTATTTAGATAGCCCAAAAGTGGCTCAGATGTAAAGCCAGGATTAAGGACCAACTGCCTTGGAAGATTTAAGGAAAATATATAAACTTGTACAAAGAACACAGAAGCAATCAGTTTTAATTTTTTAGCCATGTTGGTAAAAAAAATTCAGTACATGGCTAAGACCCAGGCCCCTTCCCATTATATCCAGGTATGCTACAAGTTATTTTAGCTCTTAGCAAAAGTTGTCATTATTGTTTCCTTAGAGAGGCTACCGGGCTAAATTAACTTAATTTGCCTAATGTCCTCATTATCTTATCTTGAAGATGATGTCATTTCTCAGGACTTGAAAATGACTTGGCTGAACTAAAAGTGAAGAAGCCAAGCCTTTTTCTAGACTCCTGAGCACAACAGCTATGGAGTCTTTGCACAGTGCCCACACCCTAAAAATTAGCAACAATGAAAACCAAACCTCAAGAACCTAGAGCAACTCTCCACTTGCCACCTGGACTCCAGTGGTCAGCATAAGAAAAAGAGATAGCTGCATTCTATTTAGTTTATAGCTGCTTTGTTCCTTCATGTTTCACTAAGCAGAGGGTCAAGAGCCCTCTTGATAACTTCAACTGCCCCTGTTCTTTTCCTCAAACTCCAGGATGAGACCTTTAATGTGGGACAATTTCTGGTGAAGGTACTCACAACGACGCTTTTCTTCTCTGTAACCTGGGTACCGCTGCGGAGAAAAAGCATCCATGTCAAAAAGTAAAAATCCTCATTTCTACCTTCTTACTTTCATTCCCAGATCTTGTCTTACCTTCCTGAACTTTTTATATTCCTGGACTATCTTCTCTTCCAGCACCTGAAACAGAAAATACTAGCACTGAATTTAACATTAAGAAATAAGAAAGGGCCGGGCGCGGTGGCTCACGCCTGTAATCCCAGCACTTTGGGAGGCTGAGGCAGGTGGATCACGAGGTCAAGAGATCGAGACCATTCTGGTCAACATGATGAAACCCCGTCTCTACTAAAAATACAAAAAATTAGCTGGGCATGGTGGCGCGTGCCTGTAATCCCAGCTACTCAAGAGGCTGAGGCAGGAGGATCACTTGAACCTGGGAGACAGAGGTTGCAGTGAGCCGAGATTGCGCCATTGCATTCCAGCCTGGGTAACGAGCGAAACTCCGTCTCAAAAAAAAAAAAAGAAATAAGAAAGGGGCCGGGCACAGTGGGTCATACCTATAATCCCAGCATTTTGGGAGGCTGAGGTGGGTGGATCACTTGAGGTCAGGAGTTCGAGACCACCCTGGCCAACATAGTAAAACCTCGTCTCTACTAAAAATACGAAAACTAGCTCAGCATGGTGGCATATACCTATAATCTCAGCTATTTGGAAAGTGGAGGCATGAGAATAGCTTTAGCCTAGGAGATGAAGGTTGCAGTAAGCCGAGCTCGTGCCACTGCACACAAGCCTCAGTGACAGAGCTAGACTGTCTCAAAAAAAAGTTAGGGGGAAGTAACTTCCCTTATTCTAACAAATGATAACAGACTAATTTTTTCCCTCAAACAGGTTTTCTTGTCACTTTGCTTAGTCACTGTACAAACCCAGGTATATGGGTGGTTAACGGGGGGTTAATGGCCAGTAGAGCTGAAAAGCCAGGCTGGATCCTGTCCTTACCTTGTGTTCCGGAGTTCCTTGCTGAACTCTCTTAATCTCTGCTCCCAGCTCTATGAACCTTTGGCTTGCAGCACCAACACGGGCATGCAGGATGCGGTATTCAGCATAATCTGTCTCAAATTCCTGCTCATAGGCATGTTGCTGTTCTGCACTGTGGATGGCCCTGTATTGCCTGCCAGGAGAAGAGAGGTGTCGCCTTCAATTTCATTGCCCCTGAAAAGCTCCCAGATTCCAGGAAGTGTATCTTAATATATGCACAAGGCTTGATGAAATTAGAAAAAGCAGGGAACTCACAGAAGGTAGTCTGGTACATCTTCAGGACCTGGGGATCCAGAGTCTAGGAAGGAAGCAAGAAAACACAAGTGATTATAAGTCTTTTTCCACTGGCATTTTTAGCCTCCTCCCATTAACTCACCTTCTTGAACTGAGGATCTGTGTTCTAATCTGGGGTCCATGTCCTTATCTTCATCTTCTTGCTCCCAGTCTTCTCCCTTTTGTAAATCCTGATGGCTCTGGCCTTGTAGGGGATTTGGCACTAGAGGCAGAGTTCTGAACCTCTTTTCTTCTAGTTCTACAGTGGCTACAGGCACTGAACGTTTCTGTTGAGGAAAATATCTGTGACATAAACAGCCAAGAGCTTCTAAATATGTCCTCTCCAAAATTCCTCCCAGGCTGGGCACAGTGGCTAAGACCTGTAATCTCAACCCTTTCAGAGGCTGAGTTGGGGGGATCGCTTGAGCCCAAAATTTCAAAACTAGGTAATATAGTGAGACCCTGTCTCTACAAAAAAAATAAAACAATTAGCCTTGTGTAGTGGCACACACCAGCTGAAGAGGGAGAATCACTTGAGCCCAGGAGTTCAAGGCTGTGGTGAGTCATGATCACACCACAACACTCCAGCCTGGGCGACAGAGAGAGACTGTCTAAGAAAAAAATCTATATAGGATGGCTTGAGCCCAGGAGTCTCCAGCCCGGGGAACAGAGAGACCTTGTCTCTAAAAAAAGTCCTCCCATAGCCAGTGTGGTGGCTCAAACCTGTAGTCCTAGCACTTTAGGAAGCTAAGGCGGGCAGATCACAAGGTAAAGAAATCAAGACCATTCTGACCAACATGGTGAAACCCCGTCTCTACTAAAAATACAGAAATTAGGCCAGGCGCAGTGGCTCACACCTGTAATCCCAGCACTTTGGGAGGCTGAAGCAGGCAGATCATGAGGTCAGGAAATGGAGACCATCCTGGCCAACACAGTGAAACCCCGTCTCTACCAAAAATACAAAAAATTAGCCAGGCATGGTGGCACATGCCCGTAATCCCAGCTACTCAGGAGGCTGAGGTAGGAGAATCGCTTGAACCCGGGAGGCAGAGGTTGTGGTGATCCGAGGTCACCATTGCATTCCAGCCTGGGCAACAGGAGCAAAACTCCATCTCAAAAAACAAAAAATTCAGAAATGAGCTGGGCATGGTGGCATGTGCCTGTAATCCCAGCTACTTGGGAGGCTGAGGCACGAGAATCATTTGAACCTGGAGGCAGAGGTTGCAGTGAGCTGAGATTGCGCCACTGCACTCCAACCTGGCAACAGAGTGAGACTCCGTCTAGAAAAAAAAACTCTTGCCATATAAGGAGCTTCCAATTTCTAAATTTTAGCTTGACTAAAACTGCTCTTCAAAATAGTCCTTGCCATTGTTTTATTATGTCAGTGTTACAAAAAAAGAAAAGCCAGAGCCAGGTATGGTGGCTCACTCCTGCAATCCCAGCACTTTGGAGGCCAAGGCCGGCGGATCCTAAGGTCAAGAAATTGAGACTATCCTGGCCAACATGGTGAAACCCTGTCTCTACTAAAAATAAACAAATTAGCTGGGCATACTGAAAGCACCTGTAGTCCCAGCTACTCTGGAGGCTGAGGCAGGAGAATCGCTTGAACCTGGGAGGCAGAGGTTGCAGTGAGCCAAGATCACACCACTGCACTCCAGCCTGGTGACAGAACAAGACTCCGTCTCAAAAAGAAAAGAAAAGCCCTTGTCATTATAACTTACCTTCTCCAGACGTTTCCGGCTGGTAGAGGAAGGCAGTGCCTGATCAGGTTCTCTGTTTGGAAGATATGTCTGGTTTCTAGGATATTTAAAGGGAAGGGGATAGAAGAAAATCAGGGTGGGAGGTGGAACTGGATCTTTTATTAGACAACATTTAAGAGTGGAGATTAGAAAGGAAGACAATGCGAAATCTTCCCATGTTAGTCCCACCCCATCCAAAGTACCTAACTTCCCACTGTGCCATGTGCTCCCTTGAGGATCCTGGGAGTGACTGTCCTTGGTTGCTTGCCAGTGGATCTGACATAGACACCTGGTGGGGAAAGTGACAGGAGCACTTGGTTCCCTGGAGTACTGGGATACCTCGGACTTCAGGCTTTGCCCCACCGTATCGAAACTCCCTGCAGTTTCTGGCCTTACCTCCTCTAGCGCCATCTGTGGCTGTGATATTGCATGTCCTTCAGAATAGTCTCTTGTGTTCTGCCAGCTCTCAGGATGTCTGGCATCTTCAGTCAGGTTGTGTCCCTGAACTGATAATGGGGCTGGGATAGAATTCATGGCTGCCCAAATAGTGAGGCGCTCCCTGAGTGAGCCCATGCAGTGAAGGCGGTTAGGCCCAGACCTGGAAAGGGATGGTGGAAAAAAAAACAGGAGGGTGGTGAGCTTTTAAGTACCTCTCCACATTTCCCTCCCACACTTTCCACAAACCTCTTCTTGCCTGCTACCTATTGTTCCCCCTTACCTGACCAAGCGTTGGCACACAAGGTCCAAGCTACCACCAGCGCCCTCCTGGCCACACTGGGACACTATGAAGGAGAAGAGGCAGGACCAGCCAGGGCCTGGGAGCCTCAGATACTGGAGGTGGAAGGAGACGGTAAGCCCCGTGAAGTCAGCCCCTCCCCCTCCTGCCGCCGCCTCTCGTCCCGGAGCCGGCCTAAGACTAAGACGGGTCCCACGGGGCTCGTTAGCACACCAGGTGCAGCTGGGCCTGAGTTCCCCAGGAGGCTGAAACGGCACAGTCCCTTCAACCACAACCCCCTGAGACAACCCCAGCAGCCTCCTCGCCCCACCTGGGGTTCATTTCTCGGAACTACCTCAGACTACCACTCGCAGCCTCCAGCCCCGACCACACCTTTCACCTCCAGCCCACGTTTGTGCTCCCTCTCCCCCACCTCGCTCACACACCCTGGGCCAGCACTTACCCCTCGGTGGCCTTGGAAAGCAATCAGCGGCCGTACCTGCGGGGAGAGCGAAGATGTGACTATTGAGGTCAGGTGAAGCGGTGTCCCCGGGATCCGGGGTCCGAAGCCTGGGGTCACCTGCCTAGCGGGCTTCATTTGGAGAGCTGGGGAGGCCAGAGTTTGCGGACGCCGCTCCCTCTCCCCTGCACCTTCTCCAGGGTAGGCAGCTGAGGCCCAAAGTCCCCAGAGGCAGGGACTAGAGAAGAAGGGGATCGGCCGTACCTGTTGCTGCTGACACTCTTGCAGCGCCCGCAGCGCAGCGTCGTTGAGCCTGAGCAGCAAGAGGCTGGTCCGGGCCGCAGGCGAGAAGCAGAGCCGGAGCTGCCCACTCAGAGGCTCCTGGAACTCCTCCATGGCGGCGAGTTCGAGCGCAAGCAGCACCTGGGCCACAGGCGAGGGCCACCACCACCACCTCCTCTGTGTCGGGCTTGGCTGGCACACCCGGTAGCCCATGCCTGCCCCGCCCTCCGCCAGGAACCCGCCCCCGGCCCCACCTCCAGCCAGCGCCACCCTGAGGTTTCCCAGCCGCGTGGGCGGCCCCACCTCCAGTCAGCGCCGCCCTGAGGTTTCCCAGCCGCTCTCCCCGGCCAGCCGCCCGGACCTCTGCGCTTACTTCTAGGATCGGCATTAATAGCTTTGGGCTATCAGAAGAGCCGTCTCAGCTCTCGGAAGAAAGAGTCCGCGACCAGCGCCTGACCTCTCACCCAGAGTCCCCAGTCCTGCCTCAGTTTCCCCAGCGACTCTGAATTTGGAGTTGTAGTCTCTATAAGTCAAAGCTGAACCTGCAACCTCTTGAGGGTTTCAGCTGCAGAGGGGCGGGAGAAAGGGCCTGGTTGAAAGGCGGGCTCAGCTGTCCGCGCCTAGTCAGCCCAGAGCCTGGGAGACCAGGGAGACCAGAGGATGGCGGACCCGAAGGGGAACCCTAGACAGCGCTTTGACCTTTTCCCGCCCGCGGTTCTACCGCGGATCTGAAACCGGTTTCTAACAGGCTGGAGAGGCAATCGGGCGGTGCGGTTGTGGTGGCTCCGGTGGAAGTTGGCTATCACCGACTGGAGCGCCCCCTATTGTTGGGCAGGGATACAGGCGCGAGTAGTGGCAGGAAAGTTGCAGGGCGTAGAGCCAGAACCCAGCCCTAGCTCTCACCTCGTGGCCTAAACACACATCAGAGTGGTGAGACCGCTCCCTGAGGAGGGCCGGAAGCTGCCATGAAGTCTCCAGGCATTCCAGAGGACCGGATCCTGGTGCAGTGAGATCCCAGGACTAACCTCGGGCCAGCCCTTGGTGTCTCCACTTGTTCCTGTTTGATTATGTTTCCCAGAGCCCTGATGTTGTCCTGTTTCCTAACCAGGATCCCTCTGTTAAATGCCTGGACCTGCATAATCCCAGGAGACATTACTGCCTCCAACACAAATAAAATTACCCAAACATTTGTCAAAACTCATCAAAGAATACACATAAAATCTGCATGTAAATTACACTTCAATAAAGTGGGGGTTTTTTCCTTTTTTTTTTTTTTTGTCTCTCTCTGTCACCCAGGCTGGAATGCAGGGGTGTGATCTCGGCTCACTACAACCTCTGCCTCCTGGGTTCAAGCGATTCTCCTGCCTCAGCCTCCTGAGTAGCTGGGATACAGGCATCCACCATCACACTCAGCTAATTTCTTGTATTTTTAGTAGAGACAGGGTTTCATTATGTTGATGAGGCTGGTCTCGAACTCCTGACCTGTGATCCGCCCTCCTCCGCCTCCCAAAGTGCTGGGATTACAGGCGTGAGCCACCAAACCCAGCCAATAAATTTGATCTTTAAAATCTGTGCTATCCCTGTTTCTCTGTGACAATATCCTAATTTGATAAACAGTTGTGGTAATGAATATAGCTGGCCTCTTAGCTGGGCATGGCAGTGCATGCCTGAAGTCCCAGCTACTCAGGAGGCTGAGGCAGGAGGATCACTTGAGTCCAGGAGTTTGAGCCTGCAGTGAGCCATGTTTTTGCCACTGCACTCCAGCCTGAGCAACAGAGAGAGATCCTGTCTCAAAAACAGAAAAAGAAAGAAAATATTTCCCAGACTTTCTTTTCAGAGGACATCTGTGGCACTTGTAGGATTTCCCTAGATTTAAACTCAAAGGAGAGACTAGAATGGTAAAAATTTCAGAGAGGAAGGAGGGAGCAGTGGTATAAGAGCAGGCAAGTGGGAGGATATTTGGAGAAGGGAGAAGGAAGAAGGGTGGTAAGGATCTAACATTTGTTCAGTATCCATTCTGTGTCAGGATCTTTGCCAGTTATTTAATCCCTACAATAACTTTTTTCTTTTTTTTTTGAAACAGAGTGTCACTCTGTCACTCAGGCTGGAGTGCAGTGATGCAATCTCAGCTCACTGCAACCTCCGCCTCCCGGGTTCAAGCAATTCTCCTGCCTCAGACTCCTGAGTAGCTGGGACCACAGGTGTGTGCCACCACACCCGACTGATTTTTGTAGTTTTAGTAGAGATGGGCTTTCACTATGTTAGCCAGGGTGGTCTTGAACTCCTGACCTCAGGTGATCCACCCACCTCGGCCTCCCAAAGTGCTGGGATTACAGGCATGAGCGATTGCTCCTGGCCTACAATAATTTTCTACTGTAGGTATTATAATTAACGTTTCTCATTCATTCAAGTGACCTAGTGGAGGTCACTTCTATTTTAAGAGTTACTATGGTTGCTGTGTTGAGAATAGATTGTAGACAGACAGAATAAAAGCAGTATGATCTGTTATGAGGCTATTTCAGTAATCCAAGCTAGAGATGGTGGCCTTTTGGACAAGGTGGGAGAAGTATATAAGGTTCTGGATATATCAGTAGAGCCAACAGGATATCTTCATGGATTGAATGTGGCATATGAGAGAGAAATGACAAGGATAACTCCAGGATTTTTGGCCAGAACAAATATAATAGAGGGATGAAACTGCCATCAACTGAAGTAGGAAAGACTGTGTTGGAGCAGGCTTAGTCCTCAACATGTTGGGTTGTTTATATGAATCCACACGGGGGCCAGATGTAGTGGCTCATGCTTGTAATCCCAACACTTTCAGAGGCTGAGGAGGGTGGATCGCTTTAGTCCAGGAGTTTGAAATCAGCCTGGGCAACATAGTGAGACCTCATCACTATAAAAAATGAAAAATTAGCTGGTCATGGTGGTACATGCCCATGGTCCCAGCTACTCAGGAGGCCGAGGAAGAAAATCACTTGAACCTGGGAGATCGAGGCTGCAGTGAGCCATGATTGTGTCACTGACCACTACACTCCAGCTTTGGTGACAGACTGAGACCCTGTCTCAAAAAATAAAAAAATTCCCACGGGAGTGGGTGTAAAGCAGGCGGTTTTATATTATACATATACAAATTTGGACTTGGTCAAAGCTATCTGGGCTAGAGATATAAACTTGGTAGTTATAAAACATATGAGCTCTGGCACGGTGGCTCAGGCCTGTAATCCCAGCACTTTGGGAGGCCAAGGCGAGAGGATCATTTGAGGTCACGAGTTGGACATGAGCCTGGTCCAACATGGTGAAACCCGTCTCTACTAAACATACAAAAATTAGCCAGACATGGTGGCAGATGCCTGTAATCCCAGCTATTCAGGAGGGTGAGGGAGGAGAATTGCTTAAACCTAGGAGGCAGAGGCTTCAGTGAGCCAAGATTGTGCCAATGCATTCCAGGCTGGGTGACAAGAGTGAAATTCTGTCTCAACAACAACAACAACAACAAACACAAAACAAAAATTAGCCAGATGTGGTGGTGGGTGCCTGTAATCCCAGCTACTCACTCACGAGGCTGAAGGAGGAGAATCTCCTGAACCCAGGAGGCAGAGGTTGCAGTGAGCCCAGATTGCATCACTGCACTCCAGCCTGGGAGTCTTGACAGAGTGAGACTCTGTCTCAAAATAAATCAACAAACAAACATATGGAGGTTATTTAAAGCCATAAGACTTGATGAGATCACCCAGGAAGACAGAGAAGACCCTAAAAGATTATCATCCTGGGGCACTCCAATCTCTAGAAAGAGGTCAGCAGAGAGAAAAGCAAAGTCAATTGAGAGGAGATGACCAGTGAGAGAGGAGGAAAATTAAGAGTGTGACCGTCTTGAGGCTGGGCAAGGTGGCTCACACCTGTCGTCCCAGTACTTTGGGAGGCCGAGGGGGGCAGATCACTTGAGGTCAGGAGTTCCAGACCAGCCTGACCAACATGAAGAAACCCTATCTCTACTAAAAATTCAAAATTAGCTGGACATGGTGGTACATGCCTGTAATCCCAGCTACTCAGGAGGCTGAGGCAGGAGAACTGCTTGAACCCACGAGGCAGGTTTCGGTGAGTCAAGATCACGCCATTGCACTCTAGCCTGGGCAACAATAGTGAAACTCAGTCTCAAGGCAGGGCACAGTGGCTCACGCCCATAATCCCAGCACTTTGGGAGGCCGAGGCAGGAGGATCATGAGGTTAGGAAATGGAGACTATCCTGGCCAACATGGTGAAAACCCATCTCTACTAAAATACAAAAAAAATTAGACGCGCATGGTGGTGCGCACCAGTAGTCCCAGCTACTCAGAAGGCTGATGCAGGGGAATTGCTTGAACCCAGGAGGCGGAGACTGGAGTAAACTGAGATCACGTCATAAAACTCCAGCCTGATGACAGAGCAAGACTCCGTCTCAAAAAAAA